AGGTTCATGGGCAGTTATAAGTGGGGGTTATATAAGTAAGGTAACTATAGTTATGACCCATATTAAGGGGCTTATAACCCCCACTTATAACTACCCATGAACCTCCAAGTAACCCTAAACCCTCAGCCCTAAACCCTAAACCCTAAGCCCTAAACCCTACACCCTCAGACCAGAAAGCACCCCCCTACTAGCAGGGCCCCTGGCATGCAAAGTCCTGATTTCCAGGAAGAGCTCGGCCTAGAGGTAGTTCGGTTTTTTTGAGGCTTTAGGGTTTAGTTTAGGGTTTTAGGGTTTAGGGTTTAGGGTTTAGGGTTTAAGGCTTAGGGCTTAGGGTTTAGGGTTTAGGGTTTTGGGTTTAGGGTTTAGGGTCTAGGATGCGTTTGATTTATGGGGTAGTATAATGTCTCGTCTAGGTCCAGGTTGTATGATTTTGTTGCGGCGATTTGTCGGGTTTTGCTTGAGCTCTTTTTACAGATTCTTGAGGGCTTTCTTTGGGGCCAGCAGGGACTTAATGGCTCAGGGAAGGGCGTAGGGCTTAGGGTGATAGTTCAGCGGCTGCAGGGGGACACTCTTGCGCCCTTATAGTAACAGGGAAGTGGCTGTGAAGCTGTAGCCTAAACCCGAAGCCCGAAACCCTGAACCCCTAAACCCTAAACCCCTAAACCCTAAGCCCCGAAACCCTAAACCTTTTGGGTTCTATGATTCTCTGTCCAGGGCCGGGAAGGCGTCACCAATCTTCCAGGCTTTCAGGAAACGTCGCAGCCTTCTTCGGCATTTTTGGTGGAAGGCCCTATACACCGGAGTGTCGTTTTGGAGCTCCAGATCGAGGCATCCTGTTTCATGATAGAGTCTCATCTACGGGGCAGGCTGCAAGCTTCGTAGTGTTTGTGGTGAAGATTTAATGTGGCAGAAGGCCTTGGGTCACTGAGCCGAGCGAGCTCTGCTCGGAAATGAAGACTAGGTGAGTCCAGGAAACCGCAGCATCAACAAAGAGCAGAGGATAGAAACAACAAAGTACATAGCAAACAACATTGATGATGGTACAGGCAGACGATGAAAACCAGAACCCTACGCTCCAGCCCCTGGGCCCTAAGCCCTAAACCCTAAACCCTAGACCCTTAACCCCAAACCCTAAGCCCAAACCTGCACAATGAACTCTTCATATCCCGTGATACGTGAGAAGCCAAAACAAGGATTTGAAGCTAAGCTTAGGGTTTAGGGCTTTTTGGCTCCAGAGTCACGGTGCGCGATTTGGGGTTTGGGCTTGGCTCCGGTCAAAGGCTTGGCCCTCTCTCTCTCCCTCTCTCTCTCTCTCTCTCGCTCTCTCTCTCTCTCTCTCTCTCTCTCCCCCTCTCTATTTTTCTCGCTCTACATATGTGTATTTACTTAGCTGCTTTCGCACACACATACATTCAGATACATGTGTGTATATGCAGCTTATAGTTAACCTAATGAACAAACAAATAAACGAGTACAAAAGTCAACAAATAAATACTGTACAATCTATATATATATATATGTATGTATATGTATATACACACATAGTATGTATGCCTACTGGAGCTGGAAGACCAGGGCTCAGGGTTTACTGCCTAGCCCCATGCCCTAGGCGCCTTATGGTGCGGTTGGGGTGTTTGGGTCCCAACCCCTGCATCGACCAAACCCGGGTTGAGCTTCGGGCATGCTGTTCGCGCACCAGCGCGCCCCTCTCCTTGTTTTTGTTTGGGGTACGGGCGACTACCGGCGTCGGGTTGAGGGGTGAGTGCTAGCAAGCGTAAGCGATGTGACACGCTGCACAGAGGCTTGCGATATCACCAGATACTCATGGCTGTATCCTATGAACACAACCGTAACATGCACTTTACGAAATGAGTCGCAGGTATGCCAGAAGGCAGCCGTGTTTGCGTAGGATTTCTCCCAAAGCACGATGACACTCTTGTATGTTGATGATGCACACTTTCGTGGCTATGTTTCGTTCCTGGCTGCTCTGTTTTGCTTGGGACGTTCCTAAGGGTCCACAGGACTCGGCTGCAGGATAGTAGTTACCCTAATACATGACCCTTCGATATTCGGACCCCTAAACCCGACACCCTAAGAGACTGCAGCGCACTCCAAGGCAGAGGGTTTTTTGATCCTTTAGCGTGACCTTTAAAATGTCGGGCTTAGGATTTGGGGTTTTTTGGGGGTTTAAGGTGACCTTTAAAGTGTCAGGATTAGGATTTAGGGTTTAGAGTTTTAGAGGCTAGGGCTAGAGATCCTGGGCTAAGGCCCGTTTACGGGATTTGCTTCTTGCAGATGCTTGCAGGGCCTCATACTGCAGGCTTTGTAGGGGTCAATACACATTGACAAGGGATACCTTAGCAACCCTATCGGGTAAATACATAATTAGAATTGAGGGCCTGCTTCCGAAACAAGAGATCTTTGAATCCTTGTGTTACCTTATCGCCTCACTCCAACAACCATGCTGCCCTGCACTCCGGGGCCTTTGCAAGCAAAAGTCGAGATGCATGCGCTGAAACACGATAGGACCTAATCCTGATCACGAGCATGGTAGCGACTATATATATATATATATGAAGAAGGATCTTATTGCTGCAGCATGGGCAACATAGGGTGCAGGATTAAGGTTCTGGGGTTTAAGGAATGCCTGTAAGCACGAACCGTACAAACTAGCCTGTTATAACCCTTGCTGTTTATGTAGAATCCCAAAAAGATGGGGAATGGGATCCACAGGTAGCACCCTGCACCCCAGAAACCCTATAAGCCCGCAGAAACGCTCATTTAAATGATGCATCCCCACACCCCACATTAGCCAACTGGCCCGAAACTCTATAAACCCTAAATCCCCTTGTGGACAACATCCCGAAACCCTAAAACCCCTAAACCCGAAACCCTAAACATCAGTCCTAAAGCCTCTTGTGGGCAACATGCTTCATGTAGGGGCCGCAATAATGCGAATAGGGTCTTGAGGGTTCCTTACTATGTTTATAGTATGTTATACCCCCCAAACCCTATTCCAATTCTTGAGGCCTCTATATGCTACCCTAGACTAACATCCGCAAAGCCCTCCTAATTATTAAGCCCCCTTTTTTGGGGGGGGGGTTTCCAGCCTCCAGCTCCGACTCCACTGTGGCCGACAAAGCTTCGCCGCGGAGCCTTTGAGGTCTGGGGTCTGGGGCTTGGAGCTCGGGGGCCTTGTCTTGTTATATGGGAGTTGCCGAAAATAAGGGGTACCTTAATTTGGGGTCTTTAAAAAATAAGGATCCAGCTATTTCGGGTATTTGTTAGGGCCCCCTCCCAGAAATTGCTTGGGTTTAGGGTTTAGGGTGTAGGGTGTAGGGTATTCAGCGCAGCTCTTAGAAGTGTCATAGGGCATGAGAAAACTCTTTAGTGTTTACGGCATCTTCTGCATGTTCAGGGCACCTTGATGGCAGTCTCAGTAGGCTTGGATCCGGTGTCGTGTATGGCTTATGGTCTGGGCCTATGGGGTGGCCCAATATGATTCACAAAGGCTTACGAAAGATCCCTTCTATGAGCTACCCTAAAGCCTAAACCCCTAATACGCGGTATACTTCTCAAAGAAGGAGACAAGGAACTGCGGTTAGGTAGCGTCTGCAGGCTGTATGGGGCTATCTTATCACTACGACCCCTTGTTCGGGGCCCGGGTTATAGGAAGAACGCGAATACCTGTTGGGGGGTCGTTCTCAGACCTCCGCACTTTCTGAAATGTTTGTATGGTTTGGGGTTTGAAGACGTATATACATATATATATATATATATATGTATGTATGTATATATATATATATATACACATATATATATATATACACACACACATACAGGATCTTAAATTCTAGGCTTTGGGCTGTGAGTATTCTTCGGAAGGACTACGAGCTCCTACCCAGTGAATGGACGTCAAGCTTTACGGAGGCCCAGAAGTACGCGCAACTATAGGGATTCGAATCTACGGTTCGGTGCCTTGGGCTTTGGTTCGGGGTTTAGGTTTTATTACCTTAAGAACACGAAACCCACTTTTTCATAGGCTCTTATTATAAACCCTAACATATTTATAGGGACCCTACAAAAAAAGTAGGTTTTGGGTTCTTAAGGTAGGGTCGAAAGCCAAAGCTCCGAAGTTCTAAGTCCCTTAGGCTGAATGCGGGTGAGGTAATCTTGAAGCCCACCCTAAGCCCTAAACCCTAAACCCTAAACCCACCCTAAGCCCTTAATCCTGAACCCGAGCTCCTAAGTCCGAGGCCCTATAGAACCCTAAATCCTAAACCCCTCAGGGCCCTAAGCCCAAAACCTCTCAACCCTAAACCCTAAACCCTAAACCCTAAACCCTAAACCCTAAAAGCCCAAAGCCCCAGAGAGCTTACCCATAGGCCCCATAGTAGTTCCTTTTTGGGGTTAAGTTATAGGATTCTATATATGGGTAGCTGTCAAAATTATGGTCCCTTTTGGGGTACCCTAAATATTAGGTGCCGTATTATAGTAATGACCCAAAAAGGGACCCTAATTTTGACAACCACCCATATGAACACCCAAAAAAACTACTATGGGGCCTATGGGTAGACTCTGCAAAGCCTGCCAATCTAAGGGCGCCACTCTGACTGAGCCCGCAACTTCAGAGCCTCCACAGGGCGAGGGTCCATGAGGGTTAACCCTAAACCCTAAACCCTAAACCCTAAACCGTGCTTTGGGTCGTTCTCTAAATTAGGGTCCCTGTTAGGGTCCTCTTTATAATGGTGCCGTTTTAGTCTGGGGACCCAAAAATGGACCCTAATTTACAGAACTAGCCATTTGGGTCTAGGAGGGTTTAGGGTTTGAGGCTTAGGGTTTGGGAGGGTTTAGGCTTCGGGGCCTCGGGTTTAGGAGGGCTTTGGGGTTCTAGGGTGTGGTTTCGGAAGGATTTAGTGTCGAGTGGGCGTTCTGGGTGGTATATTCTGCTTCTGAGTCACGATAGACGGACTATAAAAAAGTTCTGACTAATTCAGACCTCTACATTATACTTATTAGATTATTAGAGCGTTTTAAGTCTACGGGGCTTGGGGCTCACGGTCTACAGAGTTTAGGGCTTGGGGTGAACGCAATTTATGTACCAATGTAGCCTTTAGGGTGTGCGGTCCAGGGTCTATACTGGGTGTATTTTTTCATGTCTTGTCAGGACTTGATGTGGGCTTTGGGGTGTGCAAGAAGTCTGTCTCAAGGATACATGGGTTTTGAGGGTTTCGGGTTTAAAACTGAGGCTATGTAAATAAGACGATCGGAACGATTTCCCTTTAAAGACGCACACACCTTGTCCTTTGTTTTGTGGTTCGCCGATGGGTTTGTAGCTTTAAGAACAATCTGTTTAAAGCTATCCTTCATGTTCACGGATTAGGGGATTCAAGCTTTTGGAGTTCAGAGTTTCGGGCGTGGGTTCAAGCAATGAGGGTTACACGGCTTTAGGGCTTAGGGCAGGGCTTATCACGGTTACAGGCCTTGATCTTGACAAGCTGTCGGGCCTTCTGTAGCCTACTGGTTTGTTTCAAGGTCCGAATACAAGCCGGTACAAAAAAACAACATGTTTTTTTGTACGGTCTGCATGCAGCCCCGAAGACACAACTACCTTTTTTTGGTAAAGTCATGTAAATAGCGCCTTCAACCGACTGTATAGGGCCCCTACAAAATATCAGTTTTTGCTTAAGTAATGAAGTTTAGGGACTTCGGCTTACCGGTTTGGGCTTGGGGTTCAAGGCTCGGAAGTAGACATCCTTCAACTTCGAAGTTTCTGACAGCGGGACCCTGCACCGTCCACTGTTCTGAACACCCATCGCAGGATTAGGGACATATTAAGATTATGATCACGATTAGTACATAAGCCCTGAACTCCTTGACGAAGGACTGTGGTGCATGAGAAAACGTGCTGCGACCCTTCAGCATCGACCTGGCATGCAGCAAGGTGGCCCAGTGGCCATCTGGCACAAACGTTCGATTGGATAGCGCACCTTGTTTCCTTCTTGGAGCAGACCCTAAACCCTAAACCCTAAACCCTGAACGCTAATCAATCCCCCATCCTAGTCAACTCTGAGAAAAGCCCGGGATGTCCCTGCTCCATGGAGACTGGCCGTGCCGGGCATCGCCCCAGGATCGAAGGAAGATTGTGCCGTGGCTTGTTCGCTGACGATCGTCATCTTCCACTTGGGAGTTTCCGAAAATACAGGGGTACCTTATTTTCGGGTTCTTATAATAAGGATCCGGCTATTTAGGCTACTATATTGGGGTCTCCTATTGTCGGACTCCCCCACTTCATGAAAAACAATCGTCTTCTCTCCTGTCCAAACAGGAATCTGGCAAACCCGGCAGAATGAAGGTGAGAGCACGATCTGGGCAATTTCAACATGTGCTCTCGAAATCTCTGAAATCCTAGGCCACAAGATGTTTACCTGTTGATCCAGAAACCCTGTCTCGTAACCATTATGGTAGAGGCCGCACCCTTGAGTCATGGGAGTTCAACCTACTATTCGTAGGGTTGGGGCTACAGGTAGGGTTTAGGACGTTTAGGGGAAACCCTCAGAATGCAGATCGCCAGAACATGCCAGAACCGTGTCCCTTGACCGATGGCGGATCGCAAACACCTTGGGGTTACCCATCAGGGGTGCATGACATCGCAAACCGCTGAACAAAATAGAACCCTCCTCCTGCCGGGCCTATCGCACTCCATAGCAACACCGTTTAGGGTTTGGGTTTTGGGTCCGTCACAAGTTAGATAACACCCTGAATCCGTAACTTTTCCGTGCCAACTCTCTTGCCGAACCTGCGCTTGGACCAGCACTGCCTGCTCCTTCCCGTATCGCCGTAGAGGTTGGCGGTTTAGGGTTTAGGGTTTAGGGTTTAGGGTTTCCCGTATCGCCGTAGAGGTTGGAAGGGCTCTAGGTGTTCGGCTTCGTTCTTGGGGCTTCGGTTCTAGAGCTGAAGATATACTCAGTAGCAAGTTGTAGCTTACCACAGCCGATGTCAAAAGACGACAGAATGTTAAAGTTTTCAACCCTAAACTTTAACCTCCAGTATGGTACGCTGCTTCTTGGATCCCCTGTCTTTGTGAAGCTCTTGCTTCGGGGAAGGTCTTGAGAGGGTGAAAAGAGATAAGGCGCTGAAGCCTTAGGATGTAGGGTGTGTGTACGTCAGCTGTCCCGCCCACCGGCCCCCAACGTGCCCAAAAAACGAAAGAGTGTTGACAGGGTTGAGGGCTTAAGCTGTCTCAATAACTGGGCGTTGGGGTATCGTACGTTTTCGTCGGAGGTTGCAGCAAGCCCTTACCAAGAAAGCCCAAACTAACATAAGCCTAAATCCCGGAACTAAAACCCTAAAGCCCCAAACTTTAAAGCCCTAAACCCAAAAACTTTAAACCCTAAACCCCTCAACCCCAACCCCTCAACCCGCAAACAGCCCCTGAGCACCCACAACCCAACCCTGAAAAAACCGGCGTTCTTGCGCCTTCTGCCGTAGCCGTGCCGCTTGAGCCCTCTCCGATGCCTCCGTGTTCAGGGTTTAGGGTCGAGGGTGTTTAGGGTTGAGGGCTGAGGGTGTTTAGGGTTTAGGGTTGAGGGTGTTCAGGGTTTAGGGTTGAGGGTGTTTCGGGTTTCGGGTTGAGGCTCTCTAGGGTTGAGGGTTGAGGGTCTTTAGGGTTGAGGGTTGAGGGTGTTTAGGGTTTAGGGTTGAGGGTTGGTGTTTAGGGTTTAGGGTTGAGGGTCTTTAGGGTTTAGGGTTGAGGGTTGAGGGTGTTCAGGGTTTAGGGTTGAGGGTGTTTAGGGTTTAGGGTTGAGGGTCTTTAGGGTTTAGGGTTGAGGGTTGAGGGTGTTTAGGGTTTCGGGTTGAGGGTCTTTAGGGTTTAGGGTTGAGGGTGTTTAGGGCTTGTGGTTGAGGGTCTTTAGCGTTTAGGGTTGAGGGTGTTCAGGGTTTAGGGTTGAGGGTGTTTAGGGTTGAGGGTTTAGGGCTTAGTGGGATACGGATAGTTCATCGATCGGAGAGGTCTTTAAGGTGCGCTTCATAGGTTCGCTTCGTATCTTCATGCGGCGTATATAGGGCCTTATCCGATATCCACGGAGCTTCGTGGGTGGTTGTCAACATTAGGGTCCCTTTTTGGGTCCTTATTATAATACGGCACCTATTATTTAGGGTACCCCAAAGGGACCGTAATTTTGACAACTACCCTAGTATGCTTTGGGTTTTAACAGTACTGGAAAGATCAGGAGACTTAGAAAGTATAGGTAGCAAGTCGGAGGATCGGTTCGCCAAAAAGGGGTATTGGGGTTTAGGGTGTACATTAAGAACCCAAAACCTACTTTTTTGTAGGGTCCCTATAAATCCCGTATTAGGGTTTATAAGAAGAACCTACAAACAAAAGTGGGTTTTGGGTTCTTAAGGTAGGAGTACTTCCTCTCATCACCACGTCCCCTGATCCTTGAGGGGCCCCGCCTGGAGTGCGGCGCGGCGCTGCTGCAAAGCAGCGAGCAACTCAGAATGCAGCTCGGCGATCTCACTCTTCTGCTCTTCCTTTCGGTTGCGTTCAGTATGGGCTTACTTGCAGGTTCATGGGTAGTTATAAGTGGGGTTATAAGCCCCGTAATATGGGTTATAACTACAGTTACCCTACTTATATCCCCACTTATAACTACCCCCTAAACCCTAAACCCTATAGAACCCTTTACAGGAACCCTACTTATAACTACCCATGAACCTCCAAGTAGGGCTTCTGGGTTTGGCGTTTAGGGCGTAGGGCTTCTTGACGATATCAGTACCAGGGTTGAAGTTCCTTGAGTGTGTCAAGTTGCAGAACTTCTCGGGGCATCTTCGAGGGTTTAGGGTTTGGGGTTTAGGGTTTAGGATTTGGGGTTTAGGGTTTGGGGTTTAGGGTTTGGAGTGTAGGGTTTGGGGTTTAGGGTTTGGGGTTTAGGGTTTGGGGTTTAGGGCTTTGGGTTAAAGCCTTCCAACAAACGACTTCCCCCCGCAACTTAGTTATACAAAGCATCACCCACAAAGTGAAAATTGAGGCACTTATAGGCACTGGTTTGACGTAGAGCATACCTGGATTCCCCAGTAGCCGCTTAATCAGGTACCCTGGTGCATAGATTTGGTTTTAAGCATGGATTCCTAAAAGAAAAAGGCAAAAGGATACTACTGGGGAAGAAGGACATAGCCAGGTTCTATGGCTGTCTTGGGTTGAGCTGAAGAGGTTCTATGGCTGTCTTGGGGTGAGTTGAAAACTGAAGCATGGAGTAATCTTAAGAATGATTGGTGCCAGGATTCGCTACACCTTTACGGACATCAGGGTCATGATGTCCTAACTTTCTCGCAGTCACAGTAGGTAAGCATACCCATAGGCCCCATAGTAGTTCCTTTATGTGGCTTATATTTAGGATCCTATTAGGTAATCCCAAAGCCCCAAAAGGAACTACTATGGGGCCTACTTTAAGGATCATGGGACTTAGTAAGTGGGGTTACAATTAAGGTAACTGTACTTATATTTACTTATAACCCCAAATTAATGGACTTATAACCTTACTTACTAAGTCCCACGATCCTCCAAGTATGGGTAGCTTCAGGTTTAAGCGTGTTTGCGGAGGTGGGGGATGGCCTTGGTGGCAGGGCGCTCAGTTCGTGAAGGACTTCAACCCCAACGAGTCTATCTGACTTTTTGAAGCAGAGCCTTTAGGGTTTAGGGTTTGGGGTTTAGGGTCTGTATGACATAATAGTTAAGACTGAGGATTTAAAAGCCGCTTGATGAATCCTGCTGCAGTGTTCCTGCGGATCAGCTGCCGGATCAAAGTATGGCTTGTAGCCTAGTCTAGCGCTTGCATACACTGCGTGCACCCTATACACAAGAATACCTAAACCCTAAACCCTTGCTTACAGAAGCCCCTCGTTCGAACTTTGATAAAAGCAAACCAAGAACAACGAGTATAAACAGTCCTAGAACTCTACGACCACTGAAGAGGACCCCTCCGCCCAGATGATTTTACAGATCCACTTGACCTCAAGAGGTGGTCCCGATCTCCGACCCATGTCCTTCCGTGCTTAGGCTTGCAGGACCCTAAACCCCTAAACCGTGTCTTGCAAGCCACAGGGAGCCAAACGAACCAATATGAGACCCGGAAAGAAGGAGCCAAAATGAGCCAAATAGAGCCGACATCTTTGGCTTTCGTAAGATCAAATGAACTCCCAAAGCACCCCAAACCCTACATCCAATTCCTGAGGCCAAGATCCTGGCTAATCCTGAGTTCTACACCGAACCACGCAGCCCCAAATCCCAGAACTCCAACTCGAACTCGAAATCGAATTTTAAACCCTCATTAACAATACTCTTCCTCAATTAAATTAAGTGTTATGAAGAGTTATGGTATCAACTCGAATCTCGCAAGACCCCATTCCACGTCTCAAGACACCTACATGAGACTTCTGCCCCAAAACCCCCCCAAACCCTAAACCCTAAACCCAAAACCCAAAACACAAAACCCTAAGCCCTAAACCCTAAGCCTTAAACCCTTAAAGCCCGAAGCCCTAAGCCCTAAACCCAAAGCCCTAAACCCTAAACCCAAAGCCCAAAGCCCTAGGCCCTAAACCCAAAGCCCCAAAACCGCCTAAACCCAAAGCCCTAAACCCAAACCCCTAGACTCTAAACCCTAAACCCTAAACTCAAGTTTAGGGTTCAGGGGATGTAAAGCCCTAAGCCCTAAACCCTATAACCCCAGCCCATAAGCCCTAAAACCGCCTAAACCCTGAACCCTAAACTCAAGTTTAGGGTTCAGGGGATGTAAAGCCCTAAGCCCAAAGCCCTAAGCCCTAAACCCTAAACCCTATAACCCTATAGGCCCTAAAACCGCCTAAACCCTAAACCCTAAACCCTTAAAACCCCTAAACCCTAAACCCCTGAACCCCGAAACCCCTAAAAACCCTAAAAACCAAAAAAAACGCCTAAACCCTAAGCCCCAAACCCGAAGCCCTAAACCCCAAAACCCTAAGCCCTAAACCCCAAAACCCTAAAGCCCTAAAACCCTAAACCCGAAGACTTCTAGCAGCCTTGCCTCGAGGCTCCTGGCATCGGCCAAGGCCGCGGCGAACTCCACGGAGAGCTCCTCCTGGGCCTCCTCGGAAACCTCGAGGTTAGGGTTGAGGGCTTTTGGGGTTTAGGGGTTTAGGGTTTAGGGTTTAGGGTTTAGGGTTTAGGGTTGAGGGCTTTTGGGGTTTAGGGTTTAGGGTTGAGGGTTGAGGGGTTTAGGGTTGAGGGTTGAGGGCTTTAGGGGTTGAGTTTTTTTTTTAGGGTTAGGGGTTGAAGGTTGAGGGTTTAGGGTTTTAGGGGTTTAGGGGTTTAGGAGTTTAGGGTTCAGGGGTTAGGGTTGAGGGGTTTGGGGTTGTTAGGGGTTTAGGGTTTAGGGCTTAGGGTTTAGGGTTGAGGGGTTTAGGGTTGAGGGTTTTTAGGGGTTTAGGGGTTTAGGGGTTTAGGGGTTTAGGGTTTAGGATTCAGAAACGAGAATTTTAGGGTTGAGGGTAGAATGGAGGATATAGGGTGTAGAAATAAAAAATCAGAATGGAGGAGCTCTTCAGACTTTGGGAATAGGGGTCATTGGGACCTCAGGAAAACTCTCTCAGGAAAACTCTTGGTTTACATCGGGCTTTAGGGTGTAGGGTTTAGGGTTTAGGGCTTTCTTGTCTGGGTGATAATGATTAAGATGACTACCAAAGACCAAAGACCACAAGCACACCAAGAAGGAACATACCAAAGTAACACGGCTGAGCAGTCTTACTACACGGTCGGTGTTGACACATGCACTCGGTAAGACGAGTGTCGTACAGGAGCAACGCGGGATTTCCTGCTTGCACTGCTCAAAGGCCCGGCACGAACGGGTTAAGGGTTTAGGGCTGAAGGTTTAGGGTTTAGGGTAACTTTCAGTCATTGAAAGGATTACTCCGCCGCTGCCTCTCAAACGGCCTTCTTGCCAGAGTACTCCTTCAGAGTCTGCAGGGGGAGGCCGTACTCCTGGGAGAGCTGCTTCAAGCGCTCCTCGCTGAGAGACCTCCGGCAAGCGAGTTTTCGCCACGCACGCAGGCGGCCGTGGTAGCCCCAGTCGAGAAGACTGCAAATGCCCCGGGTAGCTTCTGGTCCCAATCGGAGGGCAGCAGTCGTCTCTGTAACGAGGCCGAAGACCTGCCCTGCAGGAGCGACCGTTACATAAGCATCGAATTGCTTCCAGGACCGTCGCATCTCTCTCAAAATTGGTTCGGCTTGTTTTTTGGGTTGGCTTCGTTCGTAATACAAGAACGTATGGAAAAAACATCTGGAGCGAAGAAGCATGGTCGGCGCTGCCGCCGTGCAGGCTCATCTTGCCATCCTCGCCAGTCCTGCCATCCTGCCCAGCTGCTTTGCCAATGACGGTCTTGCCACCCAGACTCAGAGGACCTCAGAGCAGCGATTTTTGTAGCCACAGTCATGAACATCGCAGTCATCATTATCGAAGGACCCAGACAAAGCATGCCCGTCGAGACAATCGTCTGACTCGGTTTCATTTGCTCCGGATGACCTTTACAAAAATCGCCACGTCGGCACTGACTTCGGGCATCTGGAAACACTGCACCATACCACACATGAGCGCAGGCTTCAATGTAAATTGCCGAGTGGTAGATGCCTGTAAAGGTGGGGAAGCAATGCGGCTGGTATTTCCGGAGGAACACGGAAGGGCTGGTTCTTCACGCTATGTGGCAATGCTCAGAAAGTGGTTGAAAGCAGTTGATGGTTTCAGGTTGAGGGTATCAGAAGGAGGGCGTAGGGCTTTAACGGGAGGGTGTTCCATAAAGAAGGGTACTATCCTGCAAGGTGCCCATCCAGGACCTCGCAGTTTTTTTTGTTTTTTTTTTTGGGG